AAATAATGCAAGTTACTGCTGTTGAGTCAGAACCAACTCACAGCTGACCCTTTGGAAAGAATTCAAGAGGCTGTAAATGGGAAGTGATTGTCCATTTTTCTCCCACTGACTCATTGGTGGCTTCGAACTGGCAAACAGATGCCACACGTGAATTAGGAGCAGAATTCCCTAAGAACTAGGCCACCAGAGCTCCATGGAACCCTTAATTATGCAAGAACACAAAATCCGCTCCCAGCAGCTCATAGGTTGAGGCTTCCCTGAAGAACTGAGTAGGTGTTTGCACGTCAAGGAGGAGAGTATGTGGGGGGTAAAGGGAAATCCTGAGGCTCTGCATAGCATTCTGCAGAATAAGCAAGGGGAGTGTCAAGAAAGAAATAAAATGTATGATTCTGGAGCAAGTTCTGGGGAAAGTTCAAAGCTAGAATCTTAAGTTTGCTAGTCAGTGTATTCAAGCCAGGACTACTTAAAAGGGTGCAAAGAGGTTGGGGATATGAAAAGACACTAGTAAAGACGACTGTGGTTGTTTACCATGTGCTTCTTTTTCAGAAGCCATGAATCACATGAGAGACGCCTGCCCATCTTTCTCCTGCAGAGTAGCTGGTGGATTCCAACTATGTGCCTTGGGAATGGCAGTGAGCCATCAGAGGGGAAAAAAAATCAGCTGTGCAGACGTTTGCTTCTCATTGTGCCGCCATCTAATAAGCCTGGTCCCTCTTTTCCTTGCTAGCAGGCTGACATCTCTCCCTTTTGCACCTGTGGACAAAAACATCCAGCTTTCCGCCCCTCCTGGGCCACGCACGACCAGGCAGAGGCTCCTTCCCCCTCACTTGCCTGTTGCTGCACGTTCCTGCAGCTGCACCTCTGAGCCTCAGGCAAGCCCAGCCCAGTCTTCAGCAGGCACATGGGACCTGAACGGAAGTGTGAGCTGAGTCAATGGAGAGAAATTCTGCAAGCTTTAGTCTGTGGGGTTTATGTGACTACACCTGAATCGGAGAGAACAGCCACATCATTTTAAGCAAGAGAAGTGGAGCCTCTGAGACAACTTATTAACAGAAGAGAGAAGCCCCAGATATTCCACAATAAAATGAGTGTTATGAGGAACGGGCTGATTTAATGGAGAAATAAATAAATAAAATTTTAAAATAGAGTATTGTTGGAAATACTAAAATCACTTCATTTTCTCATGTAGTTGAACATCAAAATGGACTTTGGAAAAATGTCTATAAAGGGAGCTCTGGCAGCTTATTCATAAGGAGTTGTTCTGCCAACCCAAAGACAAACAGCTCAAATCCACTAGCATCATGGGGAGAAAGATGATCAATCATGTCTCATGTGATTTATAGCCTCTGAAAACCTGCTGGAGAGGTAGCTATGAGTCGGTTCCAATTTCATGGCACATAACAACAGTGAGGGAGTAATGGGAGTGGCCTAGTGTAAGAAGCTGTGCTGCAGTCCCAAAGGCACATGGTTTGAACTCACCAGCTTCTCTGTAGGAGAATAGGCAATCTCCTCTCATGCGATATACTGCCTCTGCAAACCCTCTGGAGGGTCAGCTACACATTGGTTCCAACGTGACTGCACACAACAACAACAGCAACCACCACCAGTAATCAGTTGCTATCAAGTTGAGCCTGATTCCTAACCCCATGTGCGTCTGAGTAGAACTGTGTGTCACAGGCTACTTTTCAATGGCTGGTTTTTCAGGGATTACCAGGTCTTTCTTCTGAGGTACCTCTGTGTGAAGTCTAACCCACAATCTTTCAGTTAGTAGTTGAGTATGTTGATTAATTGCACTTCTTGGATTTTTCTTGGTGCTATGTCCTCCTTGGGGATCTCTGGTGGCCTACTGGGAAGGGAGTTGAGCTACTAACCCAAAAGTGGTATCTCTTTGGAGGTTTAAATGCATCAGCTGCTCCAAGCAGGAAAGATGGGCAGTCTACTCCAATGCAACGTACAGCCTCTAAAAACCTACTGGAGGGTCAGCTAGGAGTAGCCTCTGGCTTGACGGCCAAGAGCTTGAGGTCCTCCCTAGCACTGGAGGGGCCAGACCATGGAAAAGACATTGTGCTGCAAAAGGTGGAGGGTCAAAGAAGGAGAGGAAGACTCTCAACGGGATTGACTGCCACAGTGACTAACGTTCTGGGCCTGAGCAGGGCAGAGATGCTGAGGATGGCGCAGGACAGGGCTGTGGTTCATGGGGTTGCTATGAGTTGAAGCTGACTCGATGACACCTAACTGCAACAAGCCCTCTGTCAGGAGCTCTGGTGACATAGTGCACCATGGATTCTGCTGTAACCTAAAGGATGTGCCTCTGTAGCTTTTCAAATCCACAAGAGGCTCCACCAGAGAAAGATGACCATTTCCTCCTCTTAGGATTTACAGTCTCAGAAACCTGATGGAGATTCGCTGCCAAATTAGAATCAACCCAACAGCCGCGAGTGACGTCCTCCCCAGCTGACAGGAAGAGGAATGGACAGTGAAACTGCTCAAAGCTGGACCTCAATATGACTGCCTTGTTTTTCTGGATCTTGTAAGTTTTCTGCCTGTGACAATATGCTATTGCTCCCTTTATAATGGAGTATTGCTATTTCCATACTTTTGCTCTATTTATTGGAAAGTATTTGATTTTTTTTTTTTCACTTTGGAGAGATTTCTCCATTAGAGAGATGCTGGCTTTCCCAGCATCCAATTTATTTCCCAGTCTCCAATTTATGGCATATGAAGGAAAGTTATGATGAACTAGATTTATGAATATCAGGATACCTGAACATTGCATCTTTGAGAGAAAGGTATGGGAAAGGCATTCAAGGGGTATGAGAAGAAAACTGTGTAGATATGATCATTGAATTTGGTCAGAAAAACTAGTGGGAAACCCATCTATACTGGCGATGTGCATAGCTCATGGTGTGCATAGATCATTAAGAAGGGGGTCTGGCAGGCCAGGACTTAATAAATTTTTAAAAGTAAAAAAATGCTGAAGAAAGAAATAAGAAAGGAGAAAAACTGTCAAAAATTTTTACAATAAAAGCATTGACTGGAGTTTTTCCTAAACTAAATCAGGAATTTGGTTGTTTGAAAATATGGACCCAAATACTGACTACTTTGTTAAAATCTATAAGCAGAGAGATATTACTGCAGAATATTTGAAGGGGGGATAAAAAAAGAAAACAACCACACAGACAATTCTCATTAATATCCTGAGAACTTTCCACAACTGGAGTTATTACTACAGATAACAAAATAGTAACACTGCCCCACTCTTCTTCATCACAAGACAAAATTTTCGTGTCTTTAGGTTTTATGTATGTATTAAAATGTATCTCTAAGTTTATATGCAATGTTTCCAACCAACAAAGGTAAACATTGGATTATAAGAAATTATAATAATAATGAACACAAGGGGAAAACGAAACATTAGACTGATGGCAAAACTCATTTATGGTGGAATTCTCAGGAGGGAGCCCCATCTTAAGTTGGGTTATCTGTATACGGACACAGCTCACAGACATAAGCATTGGTGGTCTAGTGGTAAGGAGTTGCACTGTTAACTCAAGGGCACACAGTTTGATTCCACCAGCTGCTCCATGGTAGAAAGATATGCGATCTCCTCCTGTGTGATTTACTGCCTCTGAAAGGTCAGTTATGTGTTGATTCCCACAGTACTTAACAACAACACAAAAGGCACACAGGCTGCATTTATAAATACGTTTTTGTTGTTGTTGTTCTTTGATGCCGTTGAGTCGTAGACAACTCATAGCGACCCTATGAACAAACAGCCTGAGCACTGTTCGTACAGAGTTTCCGGAGGCAAGCCATTTTGGAAGTGGATGCCGCTCCAGCTTCCAGGCTTGATTTAGTCGGGAAGCTCCAGCCAACACTGTCCACCATGGATACCCATTACCACGATTGGCACATCACTGTCACAGTCTTCAGCATCACTATATTTTAAAATTATTCTTGGCCTATAGATCTAGCCAAGATCGGCCAGATAAAAAGTTATGTATTAGTAGAAATTATTGGTGTATACTGCGCTGTGCATATTTTCAACAACAAAAATAAACAGTGAAAAAAAATATGTGGAAGAGTGAGTGACACAGAACAATCTACTGAATGTAGTGTAACTGCTGGTGCTTATGTTCTGTTAGCCAATGAAGGACCTTCAAAGTCTCACTACAAAGGCATCGTCATCCCGGGGCTGGGAAATGAGGGACCACAATGGAACCCATACAACAGAGCTGTCATGATCTCTGCAGGTTTCCCAGTGCCGGGCTTAAGGTCTCCCAGTTGACTAGAGATGGAACCTATGAGGAGGAACAGCAGCTTGGAAAGGAGTTCAGGACAACAAGCAGGTAGAGCCATCCTCAGACCAGGGAACACCTTGCCCCCAGCTGAATGCACTGCTGATGGCACCCAGCTCCTTGCCCATCAACCACTGATACTCTGGAACATCCTCCTAGCAGAGGGCCCAAGTAGAAACTGGATCTCTTCTCAGTCAGAAAAGCCATAGCTAGCACACAACGGGAGAACTGAGGCTGATGCTACCACGGTTAGTGCTGACGAGCATTTATCAGTTATGAGGGAAGACAGAGATTCCCCAAAGACCATGAGATTTCCAGAGACCACGCTGTGGGGGTTGTATCTGTTTTAAGACGCTGATCTTTCTTTCTGCCATCTTTCTTTCTGATGGCCATCAACCTTGAGGCAAAATGCTTCTTGTACTCTTGCCAACCAGTACTGGGCCACCCTGTTTTACAAAGATCCCTACATCCCTGAAAGCAGTTGCTGGGACTCATTAAAGTTAAATCAAAATTAGACTAAGTGTCCCATCATATGTCTTTTCCCAAGTTCCAATCATGTGAAATGAATTGATTCCTAACAACCCACAAGGACTGGCTAGATCAAAGTAGACTTTTGGGGAACTCCAACAAAGCCTGAGCCCCATGCATGCTGCTTTCCTCCCGCCACCCTGAACTCCCCCCCACCTCACTGCCCAAGCTCACCAGACAAGTATGCAAACCGCTTCTTCAACTGGTCTTTAATGTCAGCAGCACTGAGCGGAACGATGTCCTGGTGCATGATTTCATCTAAGAAAGAGCAAACAGACACACATGTTGTCATTTAATGGAAACTCTGCCTCATGCTCTGTGAAATGCCGAGTCTGGATTAGCCACACACATCAACAAACACCTAAGGGGAGTGAGGGGATCATGTGTTTGGAAAGCAGAATTTTTCTTTCCAATACGTGAGGATCTTTGTTTGAATACAAAAGAGCTGAGTGATTCACTATCAATGTTTTTTTAAATATGGCGTGTGTACAAATCAGGGGGGGAGAGAGAGAGAGAGCAAGAGAGAGAGAGAAGACATAAGTAAACAGACAAACAGAGCAGACAGACACAGGCAGGCTGAGGCAAAAGCAGGCAGCAGGAGGCATACGACAAAGAGTAGAAAAGGCTTAGGATCCTGTGAAGGACTGACTCATAAGATAAACATTTAAAGTATAGCATCAAGAACAAATAGTCCTATAAGTTTCCATCTACATTTTGGAAATGCCCCAGGAAACACTCAGAGACCTCTCTGTTGCATATACAATGACTCACTAGCCACTGAGGAACGGTCTACAGATGTAAGGGGTCCCTATCCTCAGGGCTTCTGCACCTCCCGAGGTTTTCCCATTTGTCTGGCACTGCTGAGGAAGAACAGTTAGCAACAGATGTGGGCTACACCTTCAAATGCTCCTAAATACAGTGACAGCCAAAATGATGGCTTCTAACAATCTTTTTGAGGATGTGTCTAAATTAGATTGGGGGGGGGAATCACTTTAAACTATCCTGTGAAGGGATCAACAGAAATAAGAAGGTTTGTGAGGTTCCTGGAGGAACACAAACTCAACCTGAGATTTGTAATCACTTTGCAATAGGCAAGCAGGGGCTTTTGGCAAGAAAACCGAGAAACTTCATGAATTCTGTGCATCTTTAGGAATTCTGCATTTCATAATAAACTCCAAACAATCATACATGATTTTCAACCAATGATTTCATGTTGCCAGATCCCAGTTTAACAACAATTTGGTGGGGGGGTTTTGGGTGTCCCCCCCCCAGTCTTGATCATGAACACAATTTCTCTATTAAAAGTTCTGGTCTGGCTCATGATTCATGTGCATGGTTTGGCAGTGGCTCAAAGGGTCAATTCTTCTACACACTGTTAAGACCCAGGTCATGAACAGTCTGCAGAATATGTGTAGTGAAGACAGCAAAGTATTATACATGGAAGCAGCCTTAAATCCTGCCTTTTCAAACTTGTAAACATGGGTGACACAACTAAGCATCTTAATAGAGTTTCCTCTATTATATTAACAGGTCCCGGCTTTATGTGTCAATTGTAAAGTCACTACCTGGAATAACTGGTCGATTCATCAGTTCTGAAGACAACTCTGGTTTTGCTGCTAAAGTGGCCAGGGCCACACTGTCACTGGTCAATGTGGTGCTAAGAAGCTCACCAGTGTCATTTGGTGAGAAATGCAGGAAGTAGATGATAATTATTACTCATCTAACTCAAACAATCAAAGACTACTGTTGAGGCTCATCTGGATAGTTTAAGGGCATTGGACTGTGATTGCCAAATACACAACAAAATGTCTTAACAGCAGCTTTCTTTTGTGATAAAAACAAGAGCCCCAATCAAGGTTAGACACAATAGCTCCAAGAAAGCTTGAAATAATAAATTTTATGAAAATCTACATGGAGCTGTTTATGGGTTTTATACATGTCATTTTGCATCTTCAGTACAGGCTCTAATATTTTTCTGTAAGTTCTGCTTTTCCAATATCCTTTTTTCTGTTTCATCAGGAGTAAATGAGGATATTGAAATACTTGTGTATCTTCCCTCTAATCCAATCTCTGCTAAATTCGGGAGAAGCATATCATTGAAACCTAGACTCCTGGGAACAAAGCTCTTCTCAAAGTTTTGAAAAACTCCAGGTGCAACAGAAAACATGCATGGCTACTGCATAACCTGCAAAATATTTCAGAAACTGAGGACTTTTAATTGTGACACCAACATCAATGATAAGCCACTCTGGCAACAAAGGGTGATAAGATTGTGGCCCTGATCACTTCTTGAACACCAGGCTTATCTCCAGAATGGATAGATCAATCAGTTATAGCAATTGATAATTTATTAGTGTGTCTAATTGTTTCATCCATGGTTTATACTTTCACTATCACCTAAATTGAGTTAGGCCAATGTTTACCAACACTGGCCTTGGCATTATCTAGAAAAGCATCTTGCCAGAGAACTCTTAACGTGACTCAATTTTAAGATTTCATTACCTTATCTAGACCAAAAAATGTGGAGAGCGAAGGTAACGAAATGTATTTATTTATTTTTAAAATTTTTTTAAATGTATTTTGGAAGCCTCTGGAAACTATGAAATTTGATAAATTACAATAGTTAATAGAAAGGCTTCGTGGATCATGGACCTAGGACTAAAACCAAGGACTATAAACTTAATTAAAGAAAATCTTGGAGGAACTCTAGAAGTCCTAATCTACAAAATAAAAAGTCTTCCAAGCATCCTGAAAAATCTACAACCAGGAGAGGATAAAATAGATGAATGGGACCTTCTAAGAATCAAATCTCTATGCACATCCAAAAACTTTTCCAAAAGGGTAAAAAGGGAAGCCACAGATTGGGAAAAAATATTTGGTAATGACATGTCAGATAAGGGATTTATATCTAAAATTTATCAAATACTTGAGCACCACAACAAGATAAAGGTAAACAACCCAATAGAAAAATGGGCATAGGATATGAACAGACACTTGACCAAAGAAGACATTCAGATGGCAAATAAACACATGAAGAAATGTTCAAAATCCCCAGCTCTACGAGAGATGCAAATCAAAACTATGAGATATCATCTCAACCCAATAAGAATAACAAAATTTAACAGAACAGCAAACAATAAATGCTGGCAAGATTGTGGAGAAGCTGGAACCCTTATTCACTGTTGGTGGGAGTGTAAAATGGTGCAACCACTATGGAAGGCTGTATGGTGCTTTCTCAAAAAGATGGAAATAGACATGCCATTTGACCCAGAAATTCCACTACTGGGAATATACCCTAAAGAGACCATAACTGATATCCAAGCAGATATATGCACACCCATGCTCATCACGGCTTTGTTCACAATAGCTAGGAGTTGGAAACAAGTGCCCATCAACAAACGAATGGATAGAGAAGCTGTGATATATTAACACAATGGAATACTATGCTGCATTGAAAAACAAGGAACTCATGCAATAATATTAAAAATGGTTGACTCTGGAGAACATTATGCTGAGTGAAATATCTCAGTCACAAAAAGAAAAATACAGCATAATGCCACTGTTATAAAAGAGGAATGACATAGCGGTTGGGTTGGGGTGAGACTGAGAAAGAGAGATAAATAATGTATACTGCATGGAAACAGATGAACTGTTTAAAAGGGATATATGATTAGGTATTATTGTCATGACAGGGGTCCAGTGCAGAACGAAGGCAGCATAGTGGAGTGGACTTGGGGGGAGGGATTGTATAACAATGCAAGAGTTTTACTTTTCAAAGAGGAGAGTGAATTGGGGGTGGGGAGTGGGCAGGGAGAAAAGTGTAACAATGAATGAATGGAAATCCAAAGTCTCTGTAAGCTTTCATTAAAATTAATTTTTTAAAAAAGGCAGGTTTCATGCTTTTTGCTCACAGGGTCGCTATGAGTCATGCTTGACTCGACAACAACAAAATGTATTTATTTCTACATTATTTCTTAGACTTGAGGATGAATGCTACTAAGCTGCAGAAGCCGTCAGCACGGCACTTTTCTCCTGAGTAAGCATTCACATTCTGAAACTCATCCTGGACATGATGAGGTATCTGTTCCCTGTGTCCGGTGAAATGTCCTTTCCTACGTCTTAGTGACAGAACTGGTATTATCAACTATTCTTCATTTCTGTGGCAGAGTGATCATCTCACTGGCTGTCAACTCTGGCTCCATCAAGGGATGTCTATCTACAGGGGTCTCCTTGGCCCCACTTCCTCTTCTTTCCCAAGTGCCAACCACATTCATTTCTTATTCTTCCTTGGATGGGCCAAAGCCCTTTCAGTTCTTTGGCCTCAGTACAACCTGTTCCCTATTAAAATTCTCCCAAGTCTGTTTGCCAATCTAAACTTAATTCCTGGCTGAGATGTCACTTCAAGGAGGCCCTTCTCAAACAGATGAAATCCATATAAAGTCTGGAGTTTAGTTAATAGCAATGCACTCATAGTAATTCCTTAATTTTTATAAACATACTCTGGTAACAGCTATTTTGACATTAAGGAAAATTGGATGATGGTTGTGTAGAAGCTCTGTATTATCTTTTGAAACTTTTCTATAAATCTAAAATTACTCTAAAATACAATATTTTTCCCAAAACAAGAAAATGAAAGGAGGTCTTTCTCACCCTTCCACCCTGGGCATGTTTCACAGCACCCGATACCTCCTACAAAGCACCTACCAGACGCATACTGTGTGTCCAGCACTCACAACTGTGACCCAAACTTCATATGGGCGCATCCTCAAATCTCCTGGGCTGGCCTTTGTACTTTGTCTAAGGTGGCAGCTCCAAGCTAAGTTTAAGGTGCTCAATAAATGAAGCTAAAGGTAATAGTAAAGTTGGTAGCTTTTCTGTGTATCATTCAGAAGTCACCCTAACCATGCAGGCTTTTTTATTATTCCCACACATGCTAGTCCCAGGGCTTGGGGTTCTTCTCTAAGCACTGTGAGGTGAAGAACAAATACACAGTAAAACCTGCAAAGGCCAAAACCTGTGTGAGGTGGAGACCTGTCAAGAAGGGAAACGTACTTCTTATTGAAAGTAACAAGAAAGTGAAGGGTACACTCTAGTAAAGCTGAAAAACTTGCAAGATCCAGAAAAACAAGACCGTCTTGATGAGTTCTGGCTTTCCCAGGTTCTACGCCACTGTAGCTGAATGTCTGCTACACTTAATCTTTAACCTTGGCTATGGAACCCCAACCCCTCCTGAATTTTCTGGGAGAGAACTGATTTTA